AAAAAAAAAAAAAAAAAAATGAAGCGAAAAAGCAAAAGGAATGCAGATTATGCAGCAAATAAAACACTGTTACTTTTGATACACAGCGCCAATGGTGCAAAAGACGAACGCTAACAATAAGGGTGTAAAAATCAAGTCCATCAAAATTAGCAACATCTGACCTATCAGCAGTAGTCTTCTTCATCAACTTCTTTTGTTCCTTCGTTGTTTTCAAGCTTTTCTTTACCGCTGCAATTTTCATTTGTTCCTCACGCTTCCTCTGGTTCTGTACCATGCGACGTATTTGTTCCTCCTCAAAATCATCACAGTTCATAGTGTGAGCATTCATTCATTCGATACCATTTCAGCATTTTAACTCGCAGTGTACGTGCTTTGCCTTCAGTACTTTTTGTTTGTAAGAACATTTAGGTGTAATAGGTCACACACTAATTCTGACGTCTCCGCCCAAAAAATGAACATAATGAAATTTTCTGGACAAACCGGTGCTTACTTTTATTGGCCCCTCGTTCTAATGAGATATACTCAGAGATTTATGCTTTAAATTTGGCGATTTTGGATTGCAAAATCGTCTTGTTAACATTGTTTAGGCAACTGTCAGTTGATTTTGATATCTTTATGGCTATCCTCCGGCCAAATATTCTGTCAATTAACTTAAATTCCCCAGCCCGATCCTCACACATGCAGTTTCAATATCTTTAATTTCCTTCTGTTCTCCCTAGAGTTAGCAAGAGAAAGAAGCAACTGTCGTCTCTTCGGGTCTTGAGCGGGAAAACTCCAACGGAACTAAAGATGCAAGAAATTCGACGAACAGTGCTGAAGGTTGCAAAATCTCTTCCTTTCCTGCCCGTTCCCCTTCACTCCTTCACTGCCCTCGCCTCGGAGAATACGACGCCAGAATACACTGGCAAACTAAATAAAATGAAAAAGAAGCGATAAACTGTAAAAGAAAACGCGCTCAAAAATGCATATTGTCGAGAGTTTGTCCGTGTGTATGTGTGTGTTTGAAAGCGAGTGAACTTTGTTACTCAATTCCAATTCAGCAACCAGGAAAGCTGGGAGACTGAAATTTTGAGGTCATATTCCAACTCCAAATTTCACCATTCCATTTTAAGATCTTCGCTCCTACACGCCAAGACCTCGCGTACGGACCCTTAAGAAAAATTTGAAACTTTCTTTGGCAGGTAACGATTTCGCGAACCGAACAAGATAGAAGGCTGAAACTTTGCAGGGATATTCTCTGTGCATGTGTGAGCTAAAGATTTTAAATTCAGCTATTAAATACGCTTATACCGCACGTATGGTCACGCCAGAGTTCGCAGTTGGTACTGTAATAACTCGAAAACTAGCCGGAAAACAGTAGCTGAAACGTTGTCAGAGTATTTGTCATTCATTATATACCTAAACCGAGTTTCGATTTGCACTTGCGCCACGATTTAGGGCACTTCGTCCATATTTGTAGCAAAGTAGTTACTTCACTTATCAGGCAAGCTACGAAGCTTAAATTTTGCAAGGACATTCTATATTCACGTGTGGTCTTAATTCGGTTTGGAAGTGAAATTCCATGTACGCAGACATGGCAAATATTCAATTTTATCGCAAACTCAAAAGCGAGTGCATTTTGTAGATTTCATAATCCCCTTTGGGCTTCCTTCAAATTTGCATTTTTTCAATGGACGAGCATTCACCGGAAAACATCCAGCTTCATGCAAAAAACTAATAATCATGCATGCTGGAGGTCCATGCGGCCCCATAATGCAATATGTTAATCAAAGCCAACACCCTTTTCTCCTGCATGCAAGACCCCAAAAACAGCCCATTTGAGTCTAAATTTTGAAATACAGCGCGGGAACCATTCCTGCCTTTAGAAATCTGCAAGCTTAGCGCAAAAACACATGACTGCGCTTTTAGGCAAGCTCGGTGCGTTGCAGCCTGGGTCTAATATAAATGCGTTACGCAAGACGCATTCATCCCGAACAACATCGGATGAAGAGAAAGCATTAGCAATGCGCTGCAAAAAATCTGCGGGGAAAACTTTGTCACGGGGAACAATTCAAGTTCTGAAATAAGCCGTTGCTCAGCACGAAGTACTGCTACCTTCTCAATAGCTTCAATTCTTTGTTGGCTATCCGGCTCGATTGTATTGATCTGCTGGCAAATGGTCTCCATTGGTGCCGGATCCGGCTTCTGACAACGTTTGTGGTCAATCACCGATGTTACGGCCGCCAAGCAAACTGCATATGGCTCAAGTTGTTTTGATGCACAGAGCAGATGACGTGCATTCTCCCGTAGTGTGATCGTCTCTTCCACCTGAAAATTTAACTGTAGCTATCTGGTCGTCGGCTTCAGTCATCATCAAGCCTGCGAACAGCAAACCATCACCCCACGTTAAGTTAGTACACGGCTCGCTAGCAGCTAAAGAAAGTGCAAATTGGCAGCAAACCGGGATTCTAAAAAAACCCTTTCAAATATGACGGTTTCCTACGGAGACGCTGTCACCTCGTCTAATTTTCTTCTTGGCCTAAAAATATGAATAGCTGTGAGTAATCGAATAAGTTCAGGACGAAAGAGTTTGGCATAGCTGTGCTCGCCGTGTGGGAATAGTGCAATAATTAATAATGGCTGCCCAAATCGACCGTCAACGCACTCTTGGTATTTCCAGCAACTTGAAAATTCCATATCTAGCCATTAAAAGTAAAACCAATCAATCTGAGTCTCACATTTATATACCATTCAGACTTCCTTCTGCACTAACTAGTTAAATTTTATGCTGACCGAGCCAATTTTCGCTTTCATTCATCCACCAGGGATGAATGGTTCTGAAAGTGTAAGAGTAATTTGCAGCTGAGCGAGTGCTGAAATCTAAACCCGCATGGGAGCAAAGAAACAAAAGTATTTCGCTGAACGACAAAATCGCCAGCAACAAAACTCACGGGTGACGTTTGTTACTACATTCACTGGGCACCTCACAAATTTAGCCATCAGTTTTTGAAAACTACAGGTATTAAAATACCGGAGGAAATTCCAAAAAACATGGCAAAACATAACGGAGTAATATGCAGCTGCGTGTCAAGAAGTAACCGGATTTCAACAACACTGATGTCTCTATTCCTTTTACAGAGCCCACGATGTGGTTAAGATACAATCGTGTGCCTCACACGGCCAAGCCAAGCCCATCTATTTTGGGCCACTAGCACCAGTTGTTACCTAACTATCATTAGCATTGAAAAAGGAAACACTAGGCCAACGCATTCTGGATATTCTTGAGACCAATTTCAACGCCTGATCGGTACCAAAAAGAAGGGCGGCAGTGCAACTGTCTTCAAGTCGAAAATCAGTATAGATGATTTGGAGGAATGCCAAAACAGATAATATGACAAGGCGGGCAGCGACGAAAAAAATAATCAACCCTCTCAACAAAGCCAGGAGGAAGTTCAGGCATTCTGTTGCACAGAAAATGCACTCTTTCCCCGAGCGTCAGGAATCAACACAGAGAGTAAAGCTGACAGCGGGAATAAAAGAACTGCGGCGGAGAAAAAAAACTTCGAATAACCACCACGCATCGTACCTGGCTACATTTTGCTCTGTACAACTTCTGTCACGCGTTTTGTGCTATTAACCGTAATCAGCTGTATTCGAACGCACCTTTTTTCGGAATAAAGCCTGCTGCCTACGGACTCGATCAAGTTGTTCTTGCCAAATGAGCTGTAGCTGCGGCTGCAGATCACTGACCACTGTCGAATGTTCTCCAACTTTTATATACAATTCTTTGCATCTTCAATTGTAAGAAGGTAAAATGTACTAACAAAACGATGCTTTAGGATTAATCTGAAAGCTTTGGTATTAATGTGTAAGCCTTGGCATGCGCAACTAAAAATCAAGGATGTATGAAAATCTGGTTTATTTTCGGCATTTACTGATTTGCAGAAGTCAGATAATTTAGCATAGTGCACAATAAGTAACGTGGAAGCTGCGCAGAGTTCGTGAATAGCTACCTGTTCACGAGATCGTCAATCACATCCTTCTCAATGATACATCTTCGCAGGGTCAAGTCCCTTTGCAGCTCCTGCACCTTTTTACCCATAACGGACATTTCTTGACTGAACTGCTGAAGTGGGGTCTCAACCCGCGCAAACTGCTCGCCAAATGCACCGGCCAGATCAACCACCAGCTGGTACTTGCTTAGCAATAACTGACAACCGTTCACATATCCCGACCTGAAATAAACCATCACAAAACTTCCTTGGCTTTTTTATCTTTTACTGAGCGTTATGAACGTATGTCAGTAAATGGTAGCCGCTAGACAAAATACAACGAATGACCAGCCTCCGAAGAGGTGACGCGCATAACGAGCAGCATAGCTATTAGGTTCTGAGTGAGGAGAGGCAACTTAGAACTGAAGCGATTTGCGCAGCTAGACTGCCGTTTCAGCGAAACCACTAAAATCGGACTTTCACAGCGACTGCCCAGCGATCCTGCTAATCAGTAACATTATAAACAAGCGAACGGTGCACGCAAATACGTACTGAAGGCACCACGAAGATTAGATTCCCAAATTAGCTGCGAAAAATTGGAGATATGCAGTACGGCAAAGGAAAATTAGGTATATCTGAGCCCAGCATACGAATGTATTTCAGTAACATTGGCTATCGTAAACGGAGTCTCTTTTGCAAATGACAACGAAAAAGAATCCTTTGTTTCTGAATCCCTGGAACTACTACAATAACGATCCCGGTGCTCCATACACTGTAACTGAAGCTTATAAATCTGCATGCACTTTTATGAATATAAACATTCCGTGGCGCCCGCTGCTGCCACAATCACGACACATTCTTTTCACCCGTTTTGCTGGTTTCTGGGCTCAACATCAACAGCCTACACGATCTCAGCGAACTTGCTGGTAAAAACTATCCTCTGTTTACCAGACCAACTTGAGCTAACCTGTACAACTCTTGCGCGGAATGCAGTGATAAAGCGACGCATTCAGCACCAGAGATGCTTCGCGAAAACTTTCGCAACATTTCGAGAAGCAAGGTTAAGTATTCTTGCTAATCCCCCAGAAAATTATCAACGATGCACCCCTCGCATTATTGATAACTGTTTGTGATAAAGAATTATCAGTGATACAGTGAGTATGAAGTGGAATAGGCTGAAGTGATAGAATACTGCAAACGGACAAAATTTAAAATACATTCCTGGTGTAACGGCAACTTACCCAGAGTGTCTCACAAAACTACTTCGTGGTGACGCTGTTCCACAAGTCTTCTCACTGCCCTCATTTCCTTTATTTCTTTCAGTGTTTAGCAGAAACGAAGACAGCCCCAAGAAAGGCTCCAACGCCCTACTGAATTCTTCCCTACTATCGATTGTTAAATCACCGGTATACTGTGGCTTCTCGCACTGCATTGCCATTAAACTCTGAAAGCACGAACAACGATAGCTCAAAACTTCACTCAGAATGTAAAGCCTGGAAGCAACACCTGGTGCCTCGTCCACTCGCAGTCATAAAAGAACGGCACGGAACAGTTAAAAGCGCTCACCCATGGCGTGCGGCAACG